TCTGGGACCGGCCTATCTCCTTAAATAATTGCACTCCCACTCCGTGGAAAACTTTTAAAAGCATGAGGGGAACACTGGTCTCCAGATTTCTCAGCAGTAAATTGACTTTAAAATGTTGAGACCCAAACAGAAGGCAAAGAAATAACGGTGACAATACTACAAAATGTTGTAATTGTAGCAATTTGCTTTCAAATCTGGCTGTCTTTGATAAGCTTTTCGTAGCCAGGAAACGATGTCATGACCTGAGTAAGTAAAGTTGTTCCCGCATCCGATCCGGACATTGGGGATTACCGTGTTAGTGAGACATCTTCCTGGGCCTTCGGCATATTGTGGTTGGGTGGCCAGTTCCGCTTCGGAGACAAGCGCACTAACCGCTCCCCCACCGCACCCATGACCTGAATACAGAGGTGTAAAAAGTCGAGAAAAAAACCAAAACCCAACACCCACAGTGATTGTGCCTGTCTACGCAAGTGACCCGAGAGGGGCGAACAGGGTATTGATTATGTTTGCAATGAAACGGTTTTGAGTGTTGAGCTTACGGCTCAAATTTAGATTATTAAAATTTATATATGGCCTACGTCTACGGGTGTGTTTGACGACGACGATCTTCTCCAATTGGGGAAGGAAAACACTGATTATTTGTTTATGTAGACGCTTCGTCCCCTGCTTATCATTAAATCTTAATAGGACGGCCTAATAAATGTAGTAAGGATAGCAGTACAATATGTAATGTAGTAGTTTAAAGTGTTGGGTTTTTTTCCCCAGAAGTTGCTACGTCCAAGACTACGTCTGTACTTCGTCTAGACCACGGCGCCAGGGGAGTTGGTTCAAACACTTATCTCTACGTTTTCCAGGAACTCAGAAAATCAGAATTTTTTTCAAGGAATACTTTATGACGTATGTACATGTGTTTAGTCTGGACCACAGCGTCGAGGAAGTTGGTTAAGACACATAGATCTACATTTTCCAGGAACTCATAAATTCAGAATGTTTAAGTTTAATTAAAGTGAGCATCTCGTTTATTATTATCAAGATTTACAAAGTAAAGATAAAGATAACATTATGAACTTTGACGTAGGTTCTTGGTTGATTTTTTGTTAGTTTGTTTTCTGTTGGTGTTGCTTTTGCTTTGTTTAGTTTTGTTTTGTTTTTTAAATGCATTTCGTTAAATGGAATTTATTATTGCTATTACATTACATGCTTTGCCTTCGTCCTCCAAACTGAACAGACGTCCTCTACGATTTCTTTGGCGTTGTCACGACCGACGTGCTAATTGATCCTACATTTCTCACAGTTGCGTAAAAATGCTTACTCTCTTCCTTAATGGCCTTCTGACAGACATCCTCTCACCTCCAACTGTTTGTACCACCCCCCAAATTGCTCTTACATAATGTGCACTCGATATAGATCTGGAATTAACAAATATTCCAAGCAATTGCGGTCTTGAAGCTTCTTTTCGGGCTTGAATCCAGCGTATCTAACACAAAATGCATTTTCTGGGTTACCCCAAGACCTGGTTCATGTAGCGGTGCTCGGCTGACCAGTTCAAATTTGAGCCTAGATTGTGTTGTCCGGATGATCAAACACAATTCCTCTCAAATTTGATCCAAGCGAAATGAGAGAGGTTATCAACTGTTTTCTTGCGGTTATCGAGTCTGAGACAGACAGAAGGTATGTAATTCTATTGTCTTTTCTAAAGATAGAAAACTATCAAACTTTGCAAATGCTTGGACGGCTTGACAGAATAATTTCCACTGATTGCATAGATTATGAACAAAGTTGAGATAATCCTAGTTACTTTTTCTTGCGCTATGTAATGTACTCGCCTTACCTTTCAGCCACTTGTTCGTATCCCTACGTTTACTTACCTTGAACTTTCTGTTACTCTAGGCCTACTTGGGGTATCCAAATTTCGTTACCTCATAGGCTAAAGTGGAGGTAACGGCTCAAGAATTTTGTGTGTGAGACATAGTAATAGTGGTGAAACTTTGGAGAGCATGTCTGTGCTTCTCCAGCGAATCAGACGTGTACAGAATTAGACGGGTGCACAATTAGACTTGTACAGAATTAAATGTGTGCAGAATTAGACGTGTGCAAGCGCCGTAAAACCCTATACTACATACATACAGACGTGTGCAAAATTAGACGTGTACAGAATTAGATATGTACAGAATTAAATATGTGCAGCATTGAACGTGTACATGTACAGAATTACATGTGTACAGAATTAGACGTGTGCAGAATTAGAAGACTGCAGAATTAGACATGTAGGATGTACAGAATAAGACACGTGCAGAATTAGATTACGCAGAATTAGAAGTGTGCAGAATTAAATATATGCAGCATTAAACGTAAACAGAATTAGACGTGTACAGAATAAGACATGTGCAGAATTAGACATCAGCAGAAATTAGACATGTGTACGGAATTAAACGTGTGCAGACTAAGATACGTGCAAACGTATGCATGCGTGCAACCCCTGCAGCGAGCTAAGAGTCTACAGAAACATTTATATGTAAATCTATCACACCCGGGTGTCCTTCAGAAGTTGCGTTAACAACGATCACATTTCATATTATTCCGACTCGCATTTTCGGGGCTTTAGAAAATGTAAGATATGCTGAGTTTTGATAAATTGGTTACACCTCACTTCGGCACTGCTGCCTTATGACACAAAACGTGTGTAGGCCTATATATGCCAAAAATGAAAGTTTACAAGACAGGCAAAAAACTAGTTGGGTTCTTTTGTTTGGTTGCATATTTCAAATCAACTAAAATTTGGCCGATCTGATTATTTTATGCCAATATCCATAGGCCAGTCTAACATTTGTCTGATTTGCGAAGGTATTCAGTAAATAGTTATGGAGTAATTGATTACAATTTCTTTTGTCGTAACGATATCAATGTAATTAGGTCGCAACGCATAATATTTTGAAAAGGGCAAAACTTCCTTAATTTTAATAGTACAGCCAAAAACCCACTAAGATAGAAAAACGTGCCATGAAAAGGGTCCCCCC